CCAAACACAGCAGCAAAGGGCCTGGTGGCACAAACTGGGAGTCCCTGCTTGGACTGGGACCGGCAGCACCCAGGGGTTGAGAACAGAGCTCAAACTGGGGATTTCCAGCCCAAAGCAGCAATCCCTGCTAGCAGGAGGCAGTGCTGTGGTGGAGGAGGCCTGGCTGGAGGATAATTAGGATTTTCCAAGCCCTTGGCTGCAGGGATGCGTGGGTGGGTGGGTGGGTGGATGGAGCAGGAGGAGCTGTGGCAGCGGCTGGCACTGCACAGCAGGAACAGCTTGGGTGGCACCAGGGACTCCCTCACTGCTGGCTGGCACAGCCGCGGGATGCTCAGCCAGCACTTGCAGCTTGACTCACAGCCTGCTCAGCTATTTTCAGCCCAAAGGAGGAATCCAGCCCGGCTCTGGCTTCCCAAAACATTGGTTCAGGCATAAACTTCAGCGGGCATTAGAGGGATGATGGATGTGAGAATGTTTCCAAAACAGAGAGCCAGGGACGGGCTGGGGCAGCAGGGCTGGGCATGGGAATGGTGCAGCACTGAGGAGAAATCCCTGGAGGGCTGGAATGGCAGGGATGGAGCTGGGAAAGACTCTGGGCCGAGCTGGGAGCGGGGTGGGCACTGTGCCACCCTCAGTCCCATGCCAGCCCCGCTGTGGTGTCTGCAAGGTTCAGAATTCCAGGAGGCAGAAGGACACGGCAGGGCACAGAACCCTGAACAGGAACAGGGGTTCTTTTCCCTGTAAACCAAAACTCACTCCTCAATGTGCTGATATCAGTTCAGAGGAGGCGTTGGGCACTGCCAGGGCAGCCTGAGGTCGTGGGGGTGGCAGCTTGGGGCTGGGAGACATCCTGCATTCGGAATTTTAGGAGCTAGGAGGCCACAAGGGGCCACCGAGCCCTGGATAGGAACGCCGACCCTTTTCCATGGGAAACAAAAGTCGCCAGCCCAAGTTCCTGGTGTCAGTTTGCAGGAGGTGCTGGGCACTGCCAGGGCAGCCCGAGCTGGAGGTGGTGGCAGCTTGGGTCAGGGACACATCCTGCGCCGTTTGGGATTTTAGGGTTTGGCAGCCCACGGGGGCCACTGGGGCTGTTGGGGGGCTGGAGCTGCTGTTCCCCACCCCACGCCTCCCATCCCGTGTGCCACCCCCAGCTCTGCAATTGGAGAGATGCCTGGGAACAGGGAAAATCCCTCCTGCAGCTGCCCTTCCCTCTGGGAGGGACAGGGGGACGCTGAAGCAGCAACAGCAGCCCCAAAACCCTCCCGGCTGGGGGCTGGGGGAGGTGACAGAAACACGGTGGGTGACCCACGGTGTGCTCAAGGCAGCGGTGGCACCGCGGGGAGCTCACAGTTCCTCTTCCCTGTGCACCTCAGGGTCTCTCCTGGACTCATCCCAGCGGGATTTAGGGGATCTCAAAGGCTGCTCCAGCCTTTTCCCTCCCCAAGGAACCCTCACAGGCTGCTCTGTGCTGGTTCTGCCCTCAAAACACCACAAACCAAACCGGCTGGGGCAGGCGGGGTGGACAAGGACCTTGTCCCCTCCTTCCCTGCCAGCCAAGGCAGCGTGGCAGCCGGAGGGCGCAGGAATTCCTGCAGCAGGGAGCTGGCACAGCCTGGCAGGGCTGGCAGCTGCCCAGGGAAAAGCCTCCCTGGGACAGCGCAAGGCTCAGGTGCTGCTGGGCTGGGCAGGAGGGAAACGAGCTCTGAGGGGGGCCAGGACTGGTTTGAACTGGTGCTGAGGGACAGGGGACACAGGGCATGGGGACATGGGACACAGGACACGGGGACAGGGGACACAGGACATGGGGACAGGGGACACAGAACATGGGGACATGGGACACGGGACATGGGGACATGGGACACAGGACACGGGGACAGGGACACAGGACATGGGGACATGGGACATGGGGACATGGGACACAGGATACAGGGACATGGGACACGGGACACAGGACATGGGACAGGGACAAGGGATACAGGACACACGGACACAGGGACACAGGGCACAAGGACATGGGACACAGGACATGGAACACAAGGACAGGGACACAGAACGCAGGACATGGGGACATGGGACACAGGGCATGGGGACATGGGACACAGGACACAGGGACACAGGACATGGGGACATGTGACATGGGGACATGGGACACAGGATACAGGGACAGGGACACGGGACACAGGGACAGGGACAAGGGATACAGGACACACGGACACAGGGACACAGGGCACAAGGACATGGGACACAGGACATGGAACACAAGGACAGGGACACAGAACACAGGACATGGGGACATGGGACACAGGACATGGGGACAAGGGACACAGGACACAGGGACACAGAACACAAGACACAGGACACAGGGACATGGGACTTGGGGACATGGGGACACAGTGACAAGGGACAGAGGACATGGGACACAGGACACAGGGACACGGGACACAGACCACAGGACATTTTTCCCTGGATCCCGGGCCGTTCCCATCCCGGAGAGCTGCACAGCCTCTCCCTGGAGCTTTCTCCTCCTGGAGCTTTTCCCCGCGTCCCTCCTTGATCCCTCCCCAGCTCCTTTCCCCACCCACGGCCACCCCCGCCTGGCCTGTCCCCTGCTCCAGCCTTGTCCCCAGCCCCGCGGAGACGGCGGCAGCTTTTGGAAAATGCTTCCACCTCGTGGCCCTCCGGAGAAACGCCGGCTCATGGAAAGCCCAGCCTGGCACCAGCGCGGCCGTGCCACCCTCTGCGCTCGCCCGGTGCCCCCGCTCGGCTCCGGGTGGGCACAGAGGGAGAAGCCTCGGGCCCGCTTTGGGAAGCAGCTGGTGGCGTTCAGGGCTTCACTCCTCCCTGGAAATGCTGCGGGAAGGGGGATCACAGCCCTGTGAGGGTCCCTGTCCCCATTGTGCCACCAGCTGGGACAGCTGCTGGGAAAGGCTCCCCTGCTCCACTGGGGGAGATTCCGGGGCTCCAGGAATCCGGGAAAACACCGTGGGCTCTCAGAGGGGTCTGTAGGACACCGGGGTCTCACAGAGCTCTGGTAGGACACCGGGGTCTCACACAGGTCTGGTAGGACACTGGGGTCTCACAGAGCTCTGGTAGGACACTGGGGTCTCACAGGGGTCTGTAGGACACTGGGCTCTCATTGGATCCCAGAATCCCAGCACGGTTTGGGATGGAAGGGACGTTGAAGCCCATCCAGTGCCAGGGCAGGGACACGTCCCACTGCCCCAGGGTGCCCCAAGCCCCGTCCAGCCGGGCCTGGGACACTGCCAGGGATCCAGGGGCAGCCACACAAAATAAACAAAGGAATTCCCTGGTGGAATCTGCTGTCCCAAGGAACGGGCTTCGCTGGGCACGAGCAAGACTCAGCTTTATTTTAAACCAATTGCATTTTTAGCAGTTTTTGCTGCTGTTAGAAACCAAAGCCCATGAAGATGACAAACCCGTCCTCCAGGCTCCTTTATTTTGCACAAACCCACCGGGATTGTTCCCTCTGATGCCGGGGGAGGAGCAGAGTGCCCCGAGGGTGCTGCAGCGGGGGACCCGAGCTGGGGTCACCCCACACCCTCCCCGAGGAGCAGCTGCTCCCCACACCCACCCGAGGGGCGCTCCCGCTCCGAAGTGACATCCCTGCTGTCACAGCCACGTCGGGATCCTCCCAGAGGATGTCACCAGGCTGCGGTGTCCCCCTGTGGCCCAGCTGCCGCTTGAAGAGCTGCGGAGTGAAGGGAATTCCCCAGAGGAATCGGGAATTAACGCCCGAGGATGAGCAGTCCTGCAGCTCGGTTTGTGTTGTTGGGAATGGCGGTGCCTTGGAATCACGCAGGGAACCGTCAGAGGGGTGCACTAATTAAAAAAAGGTTTAAAAAGCCTGGATGTGGCACTGGGTGCCAGGGCTTAGTTGAGGTGTTGCGGCTGGGCTGGACTCAATGATCTTTGAGGTCTCTTCCAACTTGATCATTCTGTAAATTTTGCAATTTCCCACGGAATAAAGGACCTCAGATTTCACAGGAAAAGTGAGTTTGGCTGCAGTGGAAGCTTTCCCAGTGAAACTCCCCTCGTGTTTGCAGGGAGGCCGGGAGGGCAGCCCTGCAGAGAACACCTGGATTCTCCCGTGGCTGCTGCTCGAAGCATTCCAAATTGCTTTTTTTGCAATTTGCATTGGCAAATCCCGACAGGCAACACGTCGGCAAGGCTCGAAAAGAGGCACAGCCAAGGCTCCTCTTCCCGACATCTCATCCGCCACAGCGCGGGGAGAGGCGGCTTTAAAGGCGATCAGAACCCAGCTCCCGCTCTGCTGGCCGGGGCTCAAGCCGAGCGCTCCGGTAAAAGAGCAGGAAATGGGGAGCGGCGGGATGGGAAGCGCTCTGTCCAGCCCATCCGGACACTTGGCACGCCGGGAGCTGCCGCGGGTTAATCAGAGGCCTGCTGGAACCTGCCAGTCGCCACACGAGGAAATTAAAACCCGGGCACCATATGCCGCGCGTCCCCGGGAGGGAGCGGAGCGTCGGGAGCGGCGTCCGCATCTGCCCGGGGCAGGTGCGAGCTGAGCGGGGTCAGACCCGGGATAAAGGGAGAGCTTCCCGTGGGTTATCCACCGGGATAAAGGGAGTCCTTCCCCCAAAGTTCATCCCCCAGGATAACACGCTTCCCAGGGGTTCATCCTCCCGGGATAACGCCCCTCCTTTCCCAGGGTTATCCCCCTCAATAACCTCAATAATGCCTCTCTTTTCCCAGGGCTGTCCCCCTCAATAACGCCCTCCTTCCCAGGATTTATCCCCCTCAACCCCGCTCCTCCTTGTCCCGGGTTAACCCTTTGAACTCCGCTCCTCCTTGTCCCGGGTTAACCCCTTCAACCCTGCCTCTCCTTTTCACGGGTTAACCCTCTCAACCCCGCTCCTCCTTGTCCCGGGTTAAGCCCCGGCCGTGCCGGGGGGAGCCGGGGGGAAGGATGGCACACGTTCAGCCCAGCCCAGCGGCAGAGCAGCCGGCGAGGCAGAGCCAATGGCTGCTGTTCATGCTCAGCGAGCGCGTCCATCTCCCCCCACACCCTCGAGCCCTTAAGTTGCAGCTTTTCACCACCTCGCTGAGCAGAGCCGAGCAGAGCCGAGCCGAGCAGAGATGCTGCTCAGCGGGAACAGAAGGCACAGCCTGCTGACAGGTAGCCAGCATGGACCCTGAGCCCGCCAGGGCCGGCTGCTGAGACAGGTACGTGCCTCCCGAGGCAGGGAGCCGAGAGCAATCACGTTTGGGATGCAAACTTTAATATTCCAGCAGCGGGAATATGGAGATCTGGCTCCCTCGGAATGATTCCTCCCCCCCTTCCCCAGCGCCGCCACCTCCCCTCCCCTCCCCGTGCTTTCTCTCCCCGTCCCTCCCGGCTCCGACACTTCGCTGCGGCCTCTCCATCTGGGCGCCTTCGTTTTGGGGGGTTTGGTGCTCCTTGAACCTGGCAAAATCGGGAGAGAGGAGAGCAGCAGGACAGGGTGGTCCCCGCGGGCTGGGTGGGCTCCGGAGCCAGGCATGGCCAGGGTGGCTCATTCCAGGGATCCCGGCTGGTAAATCCATTCCCGGGGAGCCAGGCATGGCCAGGGTGGCTCATTCCAGGGATCCCGGCTGGTAAATCCGTCCCTGGAGAGCCAGGCATGGCCAGGGTGGCTCATTCCAGGGATCCCGGCTGGTAAATCCGTCCCTGGTGATCCTTGCTCAGCTCACAGGAGGATCCAGGAGCTCTCCCATCCCGGAGTTCCTGCCCTGTCTGGCACCCGGCGCTCCCCGGGGAGGGGAGGGGCAGCGGTGAAACGGGGCCGTGGCAGAGTTAAACTGCACAGTTAAACTGCACAGTTAAACTCACAGTTAAACTCACTGTTAAACTCACAGTTAAACTGCACAGTTAAACTGCACAGTTAAACTCACAGTTAAACTCACAGTTAAACTGCACAGTTAAACTCACAGTTAAACTGCACAGTTAAACTCACAGTTAAACTCACAGTTAAACTCACAGTTAAACTGCACAGTTAAACCCCACAGCTGAACTCCCCTCTCCGCGGGTTTCACGCCCCAAGGTGCCCCTGACCCGGCGCTGTCCGGTGTCACCTGTGTCCCCTGCCCTGTGGGGAGGCCTGGCTGTGCCCCTGGTGTGCAGAGCTGTGCCCGGGCACCCTCCCTCTCCTCCTGGGGATACCCAGCCGCCTGCTCAGAGTCCCCACGGGCGGCTGGGGGCACCGGGGGAGGCAGAGGTGGCACTGCTGTCGCTGTCCCCTCCTCTGGTGGCTTTTTCCCCGTGGGAGCTGCCCGGGCTCGCTGCTCCCGGGATTTCGGTGTTTTCTCAGGCCTGTCAAGGGGAATTTAAACCAGGGGAGCTGTGGGATCCTCCAGGCAGGGATAGCAGGGTCTGCCTCCCCTGGGGAGCTGGGAAGGGTTTTTGCGGTCCCGGGAAGAAGAGAGGAGCGGGCTGTGCTCTCCCTGGGCTCGGCTTTGCCCGGGCTGGGCCGGGGCCGTCTCGGGGTCCCCATTTCCCATTTCCACCCTCGGAGCTCATTCCCGGCTCTGCGGCTGGGGAATGTCGTCCAACAAATCCCTCCTGGAGCCGGTGCCGTCAGGTGGCGCCCGGGAATAGGCAGGATCTCTCGCAGTGCCTTCAAAGCCGCCGCAGCCCGAGGGGACAGAGCAGCTCTGGAGCTGATGGTGCTGAGGGACACGAGTTGTCCCCAGAAATCCCAAACCCAGGAACATTTCTGCAGCTCAGCTGGGAGCAGAGAGAGCTGGGTGTGCAAAGAGCTGCTCACACTGACAAAAATCCACACCTGGGTTGGCATCCAGGTTCACTCAGCTGCGACTGCACTGGGGACAAAAATCCCAGGCTGGGTTCCAGCTCGGGGACAGGACCAGGAGCGGGGATTTGGGCACAGCCTGGCTCAGTCTCGTGGCTCTCCTGCCTCTCCTGAGGCCTGGGAAGGCTGAGCTGGAACAGGGACCAGGAGAGATAAAGAATAAAGCAGGGATTTATTAGGTGGCCTCAATGGATCCACCTTGGGCAGCACAACCCAAAATGGGCACAAAATGAACCCAAGATGAACCAAAATGGTCAAAAAATGAACCCAAGATGAACCAAAATGGCCACAAAATGAACCCAAGATGGACCCAAAATGGGCACAAAATGGACAATGGTCACGGGGTCTCTCACTTTTATCAGTTCTGCTCCATTTGCATACTGGAGTTAATTGTCCAATTCCATCTCCAGCCCCTGCAGTCCCATCCTTGTTTCTCTCTCTTCAGCCCACGTTGTTTGTGCTCTTGGGCTGAGATTTGGATCATTTGTCCTTGGTGCCCAGCTAGAGCAGGAATTGTTTTGTCTCCGTGAACAGAGCTCACCATCCCCTGATGTGAACCCAGACCCACACACTGAAGCAGCACAGAACCTGAAAAATAGAAAAGCCAAACCTGAGGCATCACTGATGCCCAGAGCCCATCCCAGGGGTGGCAGAGCTGCCCGGGCTCTCTGTGGAGCCGGGATTTGCAGCAGCCCCGGCGCAGGGGAGCACGTCCCCTGCTAATCAGCATTTAATTAAAGGACATGCTGACATTTGGAAATCAGAAACAAGTCTCCTGTGTGGGCTGCCTCTCTCTGCCGTTCGCCTCTTCTCTGAATCACTCCCTGACATTTTGCCAGATTAGGATGTGACTCCCTCTCTCTCTCTCTCTCTCTTTTTCTGCTTCCTTATAAAAATAAATTGAAAAGGAGCCGCCAAGGCCCCGCCGCTCCTCGGGGAGACGCCAGGGGGGACGGGGGAGATCTGCCGTGATTCCCGGGATTGCAGCGCGTCCTGCAGAGCCCCGAGGGGGGGCAGCTCTCTGTGGGGCACAGGCGGCTGTGGCTGGCCTGGGACAACGCTTCTGCCCGTCCGAAAGGACCCAGCGAGCCCGGTGGCCCCTGCGGGGCTGGCGCCAGCCCGGGATGGCGCTCAGCGAGTCCCAGGCAGGGAAATGGGGAGCCCCGGCAGCGGCTGGAGCTGTGCGGACCCCCGGCTGGGGCGGGAGGGATGTGGGACCCTCGGAGCGTCACCCCAGGCTGGGGACAGGAGGCTGAGCCCTGGCTGGACTCAGAGTGGGGGGGACACGACACCCCCGGCCCCGGAGTTGGTGGGGTCCCCCTTTTTCCCTCACCCTTAGAACCATTGGCCCCCCACGTGCAGCCCCCCCGTGTCCCTCTTGTGTCCTCTCCGTGTCCCCCACATGTCCCCCCCTGTCTCCCATGTTCCTTTGTGTCCCCCTGTGTCCCTCTTGTGTCCCCCCCGTGCCCCCCCCATGTCCCCCACTTGTCCCTCCGTGTCTCCCATGTTCCTGTGTGTCCCCCTGTGTCCCTGGGTGTCACCCCGTGTTCCTGTGTGTCCTCCCATGTCCCCTCCATGTCCCCCACATGTCCCTCCGTGTCTCCCATGTTCCTGTGTGTCCCCCCGTGTCCACTCCCTGTCCCCCCATGTCCCTCTCGTGTCTCCCCGTGTTCCTGGATGTCGCCCTCGTGTTTCTGTGTGTCCCCCCGTGTCCCCTCCATGTCTCCCACATGTCCCTCCGTTTCTCCCATGTCCCTGTGTGTCACCCCTTGTCCCCTCCGTGTCTCCCCCTGTTCTCCCGTGCTCCTGTGTGTCCCCCCGTGTCCCCTCCATGTCACCCACATGTCCCTCCGTGTCTTCCATGTTCCTGTGTGTCCCCCCGTGTCCACTCCCTGTCCCCCCATGTCCCTCTCGTGTCTCCCCGTGTTCCTGGATGTCGCCCTCGTGTTTCTGTGTGTCCTCCCGTGTCCCCCCATGTGTCCCCTCCGTGTCCCCGCCGCCAATCCCCCCCGTGCCCCCTTTCCCCCCGGTGTCGCTGAGCGGGGCCGGGCTCCGGGGGCTCGGGGGTCCCTTCCCCGTTCCTCCCGGGCTCCGGGGGTCCCCCGGCTCGTCCCCCCTCCCATCCCCGCGTCCCCCCCGCCTCCCGCACCTCCTGCCGCGCTGAATCGCGGCCAGCGACTCTGCTCAGCTGCGGGAGACGCGAACAGCAGCGAGCCGGGGAGCGGGGGCCGGGGGAAGCCTCGCTTCCCTCGGCTGCTCATTTCGATCCTCCTTCCAAGCAGAAATCCCTGCCATTAATCAGGAGCGGGAGCGCGATCGCAGCCGCGCGGGACGGAATTCCAGCGGGCCCGAGGCAAAGCCGAGCCCAGCGCTGCCCGGAATTCATCGCCCCGTGACAGAAATGCCGGGAGATCCCCGAGACAAACGGAGGAGAGCGCCCGGAGCGTCCTGCCAGGCTGGGGCTGCCTGGGACGGGGACAGCGACGGGGACAGCGACAGGGTCCCTGCAGTCACAGCTGGGCTGCTGGGCCGGTGGAGGGAGCAGAACTCGAGCAGATCGTTCATTGCAAGCTGGCAGAAAGGAGGGGAGCGGGCGCTGTCCCAAATTGGGGTTTTCACCCCCCAGACGTTGATCCACACGCGGGGTTGGGGTGTTGCAGTTATTTCCTGTTGCCGGGTCACCCCAAACCCATAACCACGGGATCCCAGGCTGGTTTGGGTTGGAAGGGACCTTAAAGCCCACCCAGTGCCACCTCCCACACCTCCCCCCGTCCCAGGCTGTCCCCAGCCTGGCCTTGGGCGCCCGCAGGGATCCAGGCACAGCTTCTCTGTCACCCGTGCCAGGGAAGGAACAACCCCTTCCCAACATCCCACCTGCCCTTCCCCTGTGCCGGGGGAGCCCCTCCGAGGTGCCAGGGGACACCTGGGAGCAGCTGGAGCAGCCCAGCAGGCGCTGTCACCGCTGTCACCGCTGTCACCGGGCGCTCTGGGGCTGCTGCCTTGCCACAGACCGGCGCAGGTGCTGCAGCTGCTGCAGCTCTCTCTGCTGTAATTGCGCTGCTGCTGCCGCCTCGCCGAGGCCATTTCCCCTTGATTGGTTTATTTTGAGTTGTGTGGCCGCGCTGGGAGCGAGATGGATGGGGCTGGTCTCGCCTGCTGGGAGGCTTTGGTGTGGGAATGGCTGTGGGGGAGTTCCCAGGGCAGGGGGCAGCTCCAGAGCCCCGTTCCTGCCCCAGGGCAGGGAGAGGTGATGCCAGGCCTGAGGGGCCATGCCCAGGGCTGGGTGCTGCTGGCTATTTGCCCCAATGAGGGACCTGCAGTTGTCACTTCCAGGAACTCCCGGTAAAACCCAAAGAGCCAAAATCCAAACTCCAA